GACCAAGGTTACACATATAGTTCAGCATCAAAGGTTACACTATTGGCTGTTTTCTTTTTCAGGTCTATGCGCCATTACTTGAATAAACGACGCCTCTCTTCTGGAGGCCCAGCATAGACAATTTTAAGTATTTCAGGGGCCCAGAAACTGATTTCTGACTCCCATCCAGACAGAACTGAAGATGGCACAACCACTAAAAATGGCCCTCTATCATTTTTTGCTTCCATCAAGTAACAAATCAAAGCAATGACCTACAGAAACACAATCATAGTTATGAATATGGAAGCAGTTAGAAAGCAGTTAGAAACCAATTAGAATATTTCTTTTCTTTTTTATTTATTTATTTTTTTCATTCTTTGATCAGCAAACCAATTAGAAAATTAAACATGTTCAAAAAGTACTTAAGCTCAGAAGCTACAAATACCTGAACAGTTTTCCCAAGGCCCATTTCATCAGCAAGAATGCCATTCAGATGATTATTGTAAAGTGAAACCAGCCACCTTAGACCATTCATTTGGTACCTGGAAGTAAAAAGTTCAATTTCAAAAAATTTAAACAAGAGGATGAACCAAAGCCAAGCAGGTTATATGAGGAGAAGTGCAAAAATCACTGACTCTCTTAATTTTCCCCCCTGAAGATAAGTTGGCTGCTCAGTGATATTCTCTTTAACGCTGCCAAAAAAAAAAAAAAGGGGGATGAAAATTTTTTTGAAATATATACTAGTCAATATAAGGACATAAGTTTGAAGCAAATAACCTCAAAAGCATCCAGGGTAAAACTAGTACTTTTTAAAGGAAAAAAAGATATATCATTAAGGGAAATAATAATTGCACAGAAAGATTCCCTTGGAAAAAGAAAAAGAATTCAGTACCTATGAGCCATCATGTAGTACTTTTCATTGCTTTCCTTATAATGCTGCAAATCAAATGTATTATTGAAAAGAAATAAGTATACATTTCCATTAAAATTACAAAAAAAGAAAAAGAAAAAAAAAAGACAGTTTGGGTAGCAACTTGAGAAAATATATAGCTAGCAAAAGTACCTTTGCCTGATCGCTTTCATCTTCATTCTCAACAGCAGTTTCATTTTCAATTTCAGTTGTATCTCGCATCTCATCACTGTCATTCCCAAAGCTTTGTGCCATAGTCTTTGCCTGCTTTAGCTTGGATCCAAGCTTCTGAAGATATTTCTCTGTCTCTTTAAGCAGTTGCTTAACACGATCTGATTTAGCATCCTTTAAGGAAGCATCAAAACATAATACTCTAATGACAATTAGAATTATAAAAAAATTGAAATAGTAAAACCCAGTAGTCCAAATCAAACCTGAACCATTCGTAGATAACCCTCCACATCATTGATCTTGAGCAAATTGATCTTCTCACGTTGAATTCTGTCAATCTTCTCACGATGGATACGCTCCTTTCTTTTATGAAACTCCTTCACATATTTATTGAAACCCTTCCAACGTTCCCTCCTAATCTTAAACACTTCATCTAACCTTTCCCTGAAGTTGAGTTCAACAAGCAAACCAGAGATAATGCAAGTTGTTCATTAAAGCAAACCATTTGAGAGAAATTTATTTAGATGTTAGAAGAAACAAAGTCATACATACTTGTGAACTTCTATCTCACTAAAGAACTCCTTTTGCCTCTCACGAATTCTCTTTTGTCGCTCCTCTTTCATTTTCTGCTCATATTTTTCAAGTTGTTTTATCCTTCTACCATGTCTATGTTTCTTAAATGACTTCAGGCGTTCTATATCGGTTGCGATAGGTTTAAAGAAATCATTCAGAAAATCACTGCAGAAGATTGAGAACATGTTGAAATGGAAATCATAAATGAGGGAAGCAAACCAAGTAAAATTAGATATGAACTGAAAACACCATGTTTTGACCACAAAACAAAGACACAAAGGGTAACAACTTGAAGCATAAAAATGAAATTACCTCCGTAAACGGCGTTGCAGCTCCAATAATTGAAGTTTCTTCAATTCTATGACACTTTTGGTCTTTGCAGATATATCTTCAGAGGAGCTCACATTTTCCTGCATGTAAATTGTAAAGCATGGTTCACAGAACATAATGCACATGCCACACCAAATCCACAATTAAATCATGCATTTTCTTCAATATCTCTAGCACCCACATGCATGTGGCTATTCATCATTGAGTTAACATATTTCCCCAAAATATAACATAGATCTCATTCCTAGACTGAAAGTAGTACTGTTTAACGTGCTTTCCAGAAGACAGGGCAAAGTTGCAAAATAAATAATTGCTAAAGGGGGAAAATGCTCATGATCTTTTGTGTTATCTGTCAGCTTATGAGAGATAAGTTTAAAAAGTACAATGTGAAAAACAGAAATTCAATTAAGTAGCAAAAAAGACAATAATAATTATAGTCATCTTTCCAATAAAATCTCCTTCATTTAAGTAGTTTCTTCAATCTTTCCTTTTTTCCTTCTTTATGCATCAAAATGCTGAAAGGAGTAATTATTAAAATATTTTCTTGTTTTATGTACTAAGGGTACACAAGAAGAGAGATTAAGTTAAACACAACTTACCTACCATCCAATTTATTAATATATGCTTCATAGTCTAGCAGGTTTTTCATAAATAAAATAAGCAAAAAGAACAAGGATACAAAGAGGTATGAAGAACTTGAGCAATTAGATAGCACACCTTTAACTTGTTAAAACAAACAGCAATTCTTTGCCTTGTTTTTTGCTGTTTAAGGACCCAATTCTGATCAGCTAGGTACTTCCGTTTTTGCTGATCCATAATCCATTTCTCTGACATGGTGTACTTTGGAGAAGGCAACGAATCAGTAGATACTGACTTTTCTTCCTCATCTCGTTCTGTGGGAAAAGTGACACCATTTCTTAGTGGGTCATCAATAGTAGCAACTTTGGATCCAGCTGAGACAGATCTTGTTTGAAATTCAGAGGACTTCAGATCATCTGTTGCAATAATCATCAAGTTAGCATAAGCATGACCATAACCAACAGAAAAGTTGTTCTCACTGACATAAATGGTAAAGATTATCATTGACCACCCAGACGGATAAGAAAATGAGTTCTATCTAGATCTCAATTCAGCGAAAATAGCACTGTTACCAGGACTGTGAAGCTGACTAGGAACATTATCTTTTCTTTCTGGCATCTCATGCTGAACAGTAGAGGCTGCTAGTGACACTGTGGGAACCTCATTATGATTGCTGATTGCAGACCAGCTACTCATCTCTGGATTCACCTGCTTATTTCTACCCATCATAGGAAAGGCTTGATCAGCTTTTCCACTGCAAAGATGACCATTCTCCATATCATCCAGAGTGTTACTAACAGCAGAACCACCTCTTCTAGTGGCAGAATCAGGTTGTTGTGATGCCATGGTTGAAAAAGCATGTGATTCCACTGCCTCCTGACCCTGAATTTCAGTCTCCAACTTCCTTGTAGCAAGAAGATGTTTCCTTTCCTCTGCAACCACTGAAAGGTTAGGAGGAGGGCCATTTCTGACCTCTGTCATTTTAAATTTTTCTGCTTCTTTGGTTAAGGAATCAGCCTCTGAGAATCTTCCAGCAGGTAAGGCACCAGAAGGCACACTATTCAACCTTCCAAATGGGGCTACAACTTCACCGATGTTGCCGGGCTCATTAAATGATTGTGCTTTGCCTCTATGGTCAATCAGCTCTTTGCGAGAACCATCTGCATTATCTGCTGATCACTATTAACTAAATAAACTGATGACAATATAATGAGAAAAGTCCCTACCTTCTTTAGGAAAGGTGTTTGAGTTTCCAAGTGCAATTTCAAGATGCAATTTCTTTTGCATCACATTGTTTCTGTAAGTGTTAAAAACTAAGTTAGGGAGGTAATCAGGGAGAAAATGGAAAAGAATCAAAGAAAGGAAAGAGCAAACTTCTTCTTTACTTTGTCACTGAAGCATGATAGAAGAATGTATGAACCAAAGGTAAAAAGATTTTTACCAAAATTCAAATGGCTAACCACAATTCCTAACTGCTAGATACCTGAATGCTAAAAAGACAAAGCACTGGGCTCTGAGTTGTTTCAACTGTTGTTCCGTGAAAGACATGCAAGGAAATGTGGTACTCTGAGAAACAGGAGATTTTTCTGAAGCGCTATTTTGCAAGCCAACCTGTAAGCAAAATATAATGTTAGAGGCAGCAAGTCCATAACAGATATAATTGTTGCCACATAGATGCAGGAATGATATTTTAGAAAACTCTGGTGAGCAACTTTTTGTAAATGTCTACTCATCTTGCTGTTCAAAATAATATTAATAATAAAGTCTCCTCATCTAAAATCACCCCCATTGGATTCTTTTAAACGAAGGAATTAGAAACTCCACCACATAGATTTTTACAAAGTAAACAATACTATTTCCCATCTTTTAGTAAAGAGAGCCTTAAACTCATACAATCAGCAATTAACATGATCACTACCCAATGAAGAAACTTACAACACTCAGTGAGCTCCCAACACAACAAATGCATCCCATATACATTAATAACACGCTGAAAACAAACAGAAACAAACTAGAGTCTGCACAGAAGCCATAGGAAATGAAAGGTGTGCGAATAATAGATACCTGTACAATGTTACTATTATCAGAAAACCTATTCACACCACCTCCATCATGCTCCGAACCTTTCAATGATCCATGCCTCTGATAATCAGTACCACTATTTTGCATCAAACCTGGGAATTCTGCTGCTGGGAATGAACTAGAATTGCCAGGAATCCCTCCATGAACCTTCCCTAAAGCACCTAAAAAATTTGAGCAATATTAATTATGAGATCAACACTCACACACAAAAATAACTCAAGTCCAGATAGCCTCCAGTCCCTAATCAAGATCTGAATAAGCCCAGGAAATGAAACATGGATAGAAATTTTGAACTTAGAAACCTGATGACAGCAGAAGACACAAAAACTAAAGGACATCATTAAATCAGGTTCTTAACACAAATGATTGAACTCTTTTTTTTTTTTTTTTTTATCAGCTCAAATGATTTAACTCTTAAGGTTCGTTTTTCCATTTTTCAACCCAGTTCAGTCTGGTAAAAGTGAAACAAGAATTCCATATTTACATCCAATAAAACTCAGATATTTAGTTACCCAACAACATATTACATACAATGTACTCAACACTTACCTGATCCAACAGATGCATGTGTCAACTGTTGTGTGGGAATTTCTGCTGTTACATTGCCAGAAACAACATTAGCAGAAAACCTGTGAACTTGAGACCTTTCAAAGGGTGCCCCTGCCTTGTTTTGATTCCATACACCCCTGGAAGAAAGCACTTCATGCATGGAGGGTACCGGACCTCCTTGCTGTTGTCCTGAAGCATTATGAGCAGATGAAACTTCCACATCTTCAGGATACTTTGAACTTGGAGCCCTCACACTGGCAATATTTGTTGAATCCACTACCCTTTCTGGCACATTTTGACCCTGCTGTCTGGATCTATTCATCAGTCTCGTATTGCTGGACAATGATGGAAAATGTTCCGTTTGGCCACTACTTGGGATCATATTGAAGCTATTATTCTCACTACCTTTAAACAAAAAGTTCCCTGATGGTTCAACTTTGTTCATTTTCCCCTTCCGTGCATTAACTGTATTAACTAAAGCATTGTGTGCATCAAGTTGATGGGGGTTCTCAATAAGCCGTTCCAATGGTAATGAAGAATCACCCCTCTTTCTCTTTTGGTTCATCTGTTTGTCCTGTGACTGTGAGTTGGCAGACCTAGTCTCCAAACTAGATGGGCTTTCATGATCCAAAGACTGACTATTCCTATGAGTTCCAGAACCTTGATAATAATCTTGTCCTGCACTGCTTGACCCAACAGGTCGCCTACTTGATCCTTTAGACATCTCATTTTCAGCTGAACCAGCTTCAGAAGTTTTTGCTACTCCAATTGCCTGGGAAGATCCTGGAAAAATGTTCAAGTTCATAAAAAAAAAGAAAAGGGGGAAAAAAGAAAAAAAGAAAGAGAAAAAGAAAAAAAAACAGAGTTCCAGCATGCCATGAACTGTCAAAAACCTTAAAGAGCATCTTGATTAACAGGAATTTACCAGCATACTGAGATGATGCAGGATCTCCCATCTGAGCTCCACTAGTCAGAGGAATCCTAGTTGACTTCAAAGCCTCCATATCCAGACCATGTTGATTTACAACAGTCTCCATGGCCCTGAAATAGGAAAATTATCTCAGAAAAGTTAAAAGATAAGGCTAAAGCTGACAACAATTAAAACAAGAAACAAGCTCTTTGAGAGTAAAGTCAAGCTTCCTGTTGCTTTGCAACTGTGGAGATGCAGAAGATACAGAAGTAGAACAAGGAGGGTCTATCAAATGAGAAACCAATGCAATAAGTAGCAGATACCAAAAGAGATTAAAAGTGGAGGGAATTGGAGAGGAAAAACACATGACATAATACAATTTGAATATTTAGGTGAGACTGACACACCTGATTTCTACCAGTAATGAACTAAAATCAACCTGTCTAATTTTAACACCCAATTATGAAGTAAATCCTAGAATTCAAATAAGGAACAGTTGTGGATTAGAGTGTGCCTTTTAAACTCAATTTTTCAATGCAAGAAGAACTTTAGATTTCTTAATTCAACACCAGTTAAATTAAAGACAAAAAAAGAAGAGTTTGAGAAA